GTCCACGTAATAAAAGACATAGTTCAGCATGTTTGGAGAAAAGGCTGTAAAATAGCTTCAGAAGCCCATACCATAGCAGAGATCTTGGTTGGTCCACGTAATAAAAGACATAGTTCAGCATGTTTGGAGAAAAGGCTGTAAAATAGCTTCAGAAGCCCATACCATAGCAGAGATCTTGGTTGGTCCACGTAATAAAAGACATAGTTCAGCATGTTTGGAGAAAAGGCAGTAAAAAAGCTTCAGAAGCCCATACCATAGCAGAGATCTTGGTTGGTCCACGTAATAAAAGACATAGTTCAGCATGTTCAGAGAAAAGGCAGTAAAATAGCTTCAGAAGCCCATACCATAGCAGAGATCTTGGTTGGTCCACGTAATAAAAGACATAGTTCAGCATGTTTGGAGAAAAGGCAGTAAAAAAGCTTCAGAAGCCCATACCATAGCAGAGATCTTGGTTGGTCCACGTAATAAAAGACGTAGTTCAGCATATTCTGAGAAAAGGCAGTAAAAAAGCTTCAGAAGCCCATACCATAGCAGAGATCTTGGTTGGTCCACGTAATAAAAGACGCAGTCCAGCATGTTCAGAGAAGAGGCAGTAAAAAAGATCGGTGTGGTATCTTTGTCCAATTAATATACTGTTGCAGAGAATTAATGACATGTCAAGTAATGTAGAGACCACAATTGTACAGAAAGTGAAAAAGAGTCCACATTATGCTATACTGTTGGATGATGTTGCTAATCTATCTATTTCGCTTGTATTTGTAAATTTTGTGAATGAAAGTCGAAGAAGACTTGTTATTTTGTCATCCACTGAAAGAATGTACAACTGTAGAAGATATCTTCAATCTGACTGATGCACAGAAACTGAAATAGATTGGTCCAGTCATCTGCACTGATGGGGGACACATCAATGATGGTGAAGCATCCCGGATTTGTAGTTCCAACAAAAAAGGTTGCATTAAATGCCTCTCGGACTCATTGCAGAATCCGTAAACAAACTCTTGTGCAAAACACATGCTTGAGGGACTGAAGGAAGTGTTGGACAATGCAGTGAAAAAACCACAGCCAACAAATTCCAGAATATTTCAGGCAGTTTGTGAAGAAATGGGTGGTGTACACAATTGTCTGTTGATCCAAACCGAAGTTAGATGGCTCTCATGGGGGGCTCCTTGTGTGCTTGTTTGAACTTAGAGCAAAAATCTTAGTTTTGTTTCTTAACAGCTACCCCTTCCACCTTGTCAGCTGTATGGAAAATCATGTTTGGCTCCAGAGTCTAGCTTGTTTAGTGGACATTTCCTGTCTGGCTCCAGAGTGTAGCTTATTTAGTAGACATTTCCTGTCTGGCTCCAGAGT